TCGGTATTGACTTGTTTCCACACTCGCACTGCTATTTCCTACTTCACCCGAGGCGATGGATTGTACAACACATGCAGACATGAATCAACTCCGAAAGGCTGCGCAGCCTCAGCTACTCATTTATTTATTCATAAGTCCAGGTCAGAGGAGGAAAGTGGGGATACATAAATACTCTAATTAATAAACTGGTTTGTAGATGGGTGTGCATGTGATCTTGGCATCTTGTAATTTCAAGGAATTCGGTTCAGTTTGATCCGAACAGAGACCACCTCTCAGTTGTGTCCACATTAGAGGAGCTGTGGGACTTATTTTTGAACTTTGGTCAGGGCCAGGCTTAATTATGCTGAGCCTGGTTTATTACCTGCTGGTTTCAGTTCTGTAGACATGAACATTTGATCAATATTCCAGTTTACTCTCTAAGATAGTTCCTAAAAAACTGAACTATTCCTTTAAACCCTGAGTGACAACCTTGCTGACAGAGCTGTATATTTTTGTCGATGGGTCTCTAGAAGGGAGCGTGTTAAACCTGAGTTTATCTATAATACCATCAAGCTCTGATTCTATCAATCCTTCTCCTGCTCTCCCCCACCACTCGCTGAGCTCAGCGGCGTGATTACAAACAGACACATACATGCAAGGAACACAATCGCACAAAATGTTGCAAATCACAAATGTCAACGTCGCCTGACGCTGTCTTTCTTCTGTCTCTGTGGGGAATCAGTGAGCCAGAAATGGCAGCACTGATTTCCAAAACAACCAATTCAATGTAACATGTTTTTTGAATTGTCTTTAATCTCATGTTTGGGATCAGTAACCTCCCCTCCAATCCGCCGGGCCCTCAACTGACCAGCCCTCTCCAGTCGTCTGTCCTCCCTCCTCCACTCCATCACCTGCTGCTTCCTCACTCACACCACTCACTATCCCTCCCTCTCTATCTCGCTCTCTTTGCTTTTGCGTTCCCATCCCTCTCTCTTCTCAAATTCATCATTTTCGTCTCTCCCTCCATCCATGTCTTCTCGATCTCGCCTCTCCCAGATGTTAGGAGGGCAGGATTGGCCGTTTGCTGGCCCCAGCCTGCGGCACCGCGGAGGAGGAGCATCAGCCAGATGTCTGGTGGCATATTCATACAGGGTTTATGAATTTGAACAGAGCAGTCGGCCGCTGACAAGGAGGACGAAGAGGAGGATTCAGAGGGAATACTGAAGAAACTTTTCTGCACGTTCTATTTCTGCCTCTGACTGACACTTTGTGGAGTTATCTTGTCTTTGTTCCTGTCTTGCTCCCACTCCTCCTCCTCCTTCTGCAGTCAGTTTTGGATCATGTTTATCCGTGGTGTGATTGGAGGGCGATGGTCCAGGCAGATGTAAATCTGGTGAGGTTTGTTGGCACGGGGGAAACGGTGGAGGACGTCAAATGAAAAGTGCGTCTTCATCTCTGAGCAGGCTGCTGCCTCGGCTGCTGAAGGTGGACTGACGTCTGTGTGTGTGTGCATGTGTGTGTGAGGACGCTGAGTGCATCGGGAGGAGTTGGGCCCTCGGCCTCCTCCGACTGCAAGCCATGTCAAAAGTGCCCAAGAACAAAAATGTCTCCTGGGTGAGTACTTTGCCTCTGTGCCTGGTCGGTTGGGGGAGGAGTGGAGGGGGTGTGGAGGGGGAGGGCTGCTGGTGGATTATAATAGTTCAGTTTGAGAGCTTTTTCATCTCTCTCAGCTTTATCTGCTTTGGAATTTGATATATTTGGCTCTATTTCACTTTCATGATTGCTATAAACATGTGCAGGAATTTCTACATAGAGCAGTTTGGATTTTACCAAGGTAAAGATCTGTTTTGGACCAAAGACGAAACATATTTTATCAGAGTAATTCAGGATCCAGAAAAATGAATAACATTGTTTTTCATGACGTTTTTCTGCCTCGATGTGTCCAACAGCTGTGCAGTCGAAATCTCCTCTCCTCGCTCCGAAATGAAAGAGATTCACACTTAGTAAAGATCTAAATCCTCTAATCAATACGTATGAGCTACGATGCTATGATTGCGATTGAATAAATATTAATACAAATTTCAGTTCTTTCCATTTGCTACCAATAGTAATAGTTTGTCTTTTATCAGATGTTTCTAGTTTCTGTTGTGGGAGTCTGAGGTCTGAAGCTTTGCCTGAAATTGTGTGCAACATCCATCTCTGCCCTGCACCACTGGCCCCACTTTGACACATAAATACATATCTACATATCTATATATAAACACACATAAGCTTATGGACAGATGTTTGTTTATCTACGTGTTAGAACACATGTGCACGTGAACACATGTGATGTGCACAAGGGGGCGGGGGCTGAGATCAGAGGCTTGAGCTTTATGAGATTATGTGTCAGTGGCTCTGAGGACGATGAAGCAACAGAAACTGAATTTGATGAAACAATCTCAACTCAAGGTTCACTTACTCGCCTGTTCTGGAGCTTTCAGCCTCATCACCACATGGAGTTTGCTCATTTGTGGGTCAAACATTTTTTTGATTCTGCTGAGAAACGTTTGACATCTACACTTGGATGACAACTGAGCAAACACATTCTGCTGATTAGGACTGTGTGATACTGTCAAAAGTTCCAGAACAAGTAAATAAACTGACTTTGAGTTAAATAGTTCTGTCAACAACCTTTTCTGTTGTGAAAAAAGTTCAACAAACTGAACTTGAACTCTGTATCAACAGTTAGATGATGCTTCGTGCCCTTTAGCAGTGATATAACTGTAACTGAAGCCTACTTGTGTCCTCTCACTTTTAAAGTCAGATATTTTTGAAGGTAATTATGTGTTTTGTCATTTAAAATATATATAGTTAACAAGTAATAAAATATTCTTTATAAACAATTCAGAGCAGTAAGTGGAAGGTGCTATTGATCAGTGCTCAAGACGTTTTCTGTCATAAATTTTTCTTCAGAGAAAACATTTACACAATTTTCTTCATGCTTTATTAATTTGATTAAATGATCAAATGTTGAGTTTTTAATCATATCACACGATTTTTATCATTCAACTGAGCTGCCGTGCATGTTTTTTTTTCTATCTTTATTCAAGAGCGTGATCTATACTTTGAGAGCAGCGTTTATTCATTTCACTTTCAGATTTTTTAACGCTTTCACTCAAATCCCTGAGTTCACTCTCAAATGGCTCCTGCTTGGATTTGCTCTGCTTGTGCTCAAACCCTGCGCTCCAGGTTCAGCTCTTGTGAAATGTCTGCATAAAAAATATGCTCTCGGATTTCTCCTCTGCGCAGTCTGACAATATCACCCAATCAACAGAATGTCAGGTGTAACCTCCGCATCATGGAATTTCTACTTCTAAAGTATTCCTTTCCACTTTCTTTTTCCTTAAAGTGCAGTAAAATGAAAATGTAAACATCTAGAAGTTCTGTTCAGGCACATCTGTTGATGAAGATCATGCCATATGATCAACAGCTTCCAAAAACCTTCTAAATGATCCTTGAGGTAAATTTGTTTTCTCAAGAGTTGATGTCGGCAGTCATTCAAAACTCACAGAGACTGAAGATGCATCATTTAACATCTGTTGGGTTAAGAGCCTCACGCTCACATACTTTGCGCGGGGCGTCATGGTGCTTGAACGGAAACAGGCCATAGAAATGGTTCAGTGGGTTTGGATTACTGAGAATATTTCAGCTTCTTAATGTATTTCATGTGTAGCTCCTTCAGCAGCACAGGAGTAATCAGACGGTCTTATGTAACATCTCCACAGTGCTCTGGACTCTGCTGGAGTGTTTATTTGGCACATGAGGAGAGCTGGCTCCTGCTGGAGGAGATTTGAGGTGTCAGGGAGTCCGTGTCTGGTTCAGTCCCAGGTCACGGGCTAAATGTTGGGACATGGCAAGAAGAATGTATGATTTTCTTCGTGAAGCAGCACAGATATTGAAAAGGACAGTGATGTGTGTGTGATGTGTATCATTTGCCTGTCTGTGTAGTGGTCCAGATGTGTGTCTCACCAAAAGGTCAGTGTCACAGCTCCTTGCTCCACTCTGTCACAGCCTGGACCAGCTGATTACAGCCCTGCATTTCTTTTTCATTCCCGCTTATGTAACACTGATCTTTGGCCCTCGGCTCCCAAAGCTCTCCCTGGTGACTCTGGTACTTCACCGTCTGCTGACGTCCTCTGCCTGGCTGTCCGGGTGGCCGTGGTGATTAATGGACATGCAGTGATGCTTAACTTTAAACAGTGATGGAGGAAGTATAATCAGGGATGCATTAAGGCAACATTCATACGGGCAAAACTTCTTTCTTACTTCCTTAATTTGTAGGATACTATAGCCACACGTTTCTTCTCTCTGCATGGGTATTGAGATATCAGTCTGCTGATCTTGTCATTTCCACTTTTCACAAGGAATCTTTTCTCCTTATTTTTTGAAAATATAAAAACAACTAAAGTATTTTATCCAAATAAAAGTCTCAATCTCAACTGAAACACAGTATTTGAGTAAATAATTTTACTCTTATTTTGGGGGATTTTATAGAAAAGAGAAAATGACATAACAGTCAGGAACATGTTCAGATTAATCTAGGGACCCTTGTGGGGACCTGCTCACTCTAAGAAGTGACGTGATGAGCGGAGCAGCTTCTGTGTGAGTGGTATCATGCTTCGTCAGTGGATGATGAAGATTGTGTTTGTCTGTTGTGGTTTACGATGTAAATCTGGCAACCAGAGGAATAATGCACTGCTTAAAACTTTGTGTGTACACACACGCAGGCACGCACACGCTCACACGTGCACGCACTAATCACTATCACGCGCAGAGGAGGGAGCCAACCAACTGTGGTCATCAACACTAATGAGACATCCCTCACTTTGCAGTGTTTAACAGTCCCGGGCAGCGCGTAGCGGTCGGACACCTTCCTCGGTGCTTGAGGTCAGAGTGAGCGGTGTGTGGCGCAACAGATGCCGCGCCGAGAAATAAGCCTTTAATACCCCAGGACTCGGGAGAGGGTAACATCACTCAACACACAATACGGACTTAAAGTGAAACCCCTCACGCAACTCGTCCGTGTCTGCGGCGGTGTCCTGTGCGTCGCGGCTGCTTGGGACGTCTCTCACCTTTACGCACGAGACGGCGCGTAAAGAACGGCGCGTTTGGTGACATTTTATCCTCGGCCACATACACCTGTTCCAGAGGTAGATCCAGGCTCATGGCACACTTGTCCATGTCCCACTTCATGGAGCCAGGTGAACGGTAATTTGTTATTGGAATAACACGCGTGGACTGCTTTACTCATCATGCCACCCAAGAAAAAGGTAAAATATACGAGGTCTTTTGTTTATTTCCATGTGTGTATGTCCTTGCGTGCGTGTTTGTGCGTGTGTGCGAACAGGAAGGATAGGAGAACGCACCATCTGTTGCACAGGGCGTTAATCCTAGTGTGAGGCCTTTCCACATCATCGCACTCACAATGCGCAGGGGCAGATAGAGATGCATATCCACATGCATGTATTATACAATGTGTCCAAGTGAATAGCTCCAGGCTTCAGAGGTGGCTTGTAAAGATGAGATGGATTCAATCTCTTTTCTTGTCAGTTTCTTTAACTTTAAGTGATGTTGTGTTCAAGGTATAGGAAATGAAACTTGGCACATTCGGATTTATTTTCCCTTTATGTTTGATGAAGGTTTTACATTGTTGCATAGTTTTACTTCCGTATGATCACCTAAAATTTTACGAGTCAAGTATAAGTATTTTACTTATATTTGAAAAATAGTGATGCCACATGCAGGGAGAGAGAGTCAGAGCTTTATGCTTCTCATGTATTACCATTAACATTCAAGTCACAGAGCTAAATATCCACCTGTCAGTCTCTGAAAAAGCTGCTGGGTTGTTGAACAGCATTTACTGCTGGGGGGGGGGGGGGCATTCTGACCAGTGCACAGTTTTAGATTTCCTGAGCTGCAATTCTTATTTATAATCCAAACAACATAATGAGCACAGTGGAGCCTGATATTTCCTTCAGGATGTGGTGGAGACCAAATCACTGCTTTGAATCTGCAGGATGGGGAAAAAACATTAGCCATTAGCGCATTAGCCATCACACTTAAGAGGAAGAGCAGTCACAGAGTGGGGCTTGAGGAAACCTGTGGATGTCCTACTGTCTTGGATTTCAGTGGGGTGGTTAGTGCCGGCCCACTACTTGTTACCCAGAATAGGAAAAGCCTCTTAGTAGCTGTTAGTGGGGCATTACATCCACATACATGCTCCTCTTCCATGCAGAAAGTGGAGCAATGAGGCACTGGATCTGTGTGGAAAGTTCTAGAGGAATTCTTACATAAAGATATTTTCTTTGTGATTGTATACTATATGTATTGTTCTTATTTTCCAACCCACTCTAAATCTAACTTTTTGCATTCAACCTGACATAAAATGTAACACATATATCTTTTTATATTGCAGAAGAGAGACAGAGGTACAGTAGCAGTGGTAGTGGTGGTTTAAATAGGAGCCTCGCTGCAAAATCATAACAGGAACGGTTGGCAAAATGTTTTTTATAATCCTCATAGACACACACGTCCTCAACCAACCCTTATCATGTTGCATCACAATGCTGCGCAGTGCAGAGGAGCAGGGAGACTTGCCGTCTCTGAAACGTGGATGAAACATATCTTTTACAGGAGACGAGCAAGTCAGGAATTAAGTCGTATCGATAATATTAATGCAGCTATTGTGTCTCTATCTGATGAGCGTCAGGGCGGCTGAGCACACGCAGACCAAGCAGCAGTGTTGGCCGTCTGTGAGGAGTTTGCGTTTGTCTCTCTCTCTCTAAATCCTAGATTGACGCATGCTATCTTAATCTCCTTACTCAGAGAATATCATGACCCAGAGAGAGAGAGAGAGAGAAAGAGAAAGAAACGGAGAGAGAAAACAGAGATACACGTTTCCTTTTCCCCTGTAATCCTCCTGATTTTTCTAATTTTGTCTCAGCTGCTTCTTTTCTTTGAGACATTCTTTTTTTTTCTTTTTCTTTTTATCGTTATTTTAATGTAACAGATTTTCTGCAGGGGTGAGAAGTCAATGCACATTGATGTTACTCTCTTATTGTTTTTTTGGGTTCATGGTAAAAGGCCATAAAGATGATCTTCCTCCCAATATCCAGAAATTAAGCTAAAATATCCTGGATATGACCGCTAATCATCAACTTTTTGGTCCATGCCCCATCCAGTAACATGGATGAGGCAGGATTTAGCCAGCCATCAACTGTCCATCCAGACTAATTTACAAACCTGTTTCTGGAATATTGTGGCTTAATTTTTGTATAGTTTGAGGAAATAGAGACACATCATCCATTTCTATACAAACTATGGGCTAACTAGTTTGCTATCTACAGTTGCAATCTTGCAATCTCTAAATGTGCCGCAGGGTATATTTGAAAAGCTTTGTTAACAACCAGCACATCAAAAGTGTGCTTTGTACTCTAACCCATCCTAGAAAAAGAAAAAAACTGAGGAAAAAAGAAATTATGGTTAAAAAATCAGGGTCTGTGGATTTTTGAGAATCATTTAAACTCAAATAATTGGACATATTAAGTGTCCAGTAGCAGCCTTTAGTGCCAAAGACAGAGGCTCATGCCAAAGTAAAGGTGGCAGTGCCAGACTAGACATATCTGCTCTTTGGTAGCATCAGGCCGAGGGCACAGGGCCAGTCTCCCTTTGACAGATGATGCTGAGCAGCTGATCAGGAAGAAGACGGGTTGGAGCGCAGTGCATGCAAATCAACGGACTGGTAATTATTAAGAGACAGAGTCATGAACAGAATAACATAACAGAAATAAACTAGCAGCAAGAGGATCAGAGTTATCAGAAACAATTTCACTGATCTTCGTCTACAGACGGACGCAACTGGAGAAATTATTCATTGGGGAAAATGAGGAGTTTTCAAACAACTGGGCTCAGTGCCAGCAGCTCATTGGAGGGCCGACAGGAAATTAGTCACAATTAGATCAGTAGCCTGCTCTACAGACAACAAACTGTAGTAAAGGGTGTTTGGTAAGCAGACAGTGTTTTTGTCCTTTCTGATGCAGGGATTTATCCACTTAGGCTCAGCAGCAAGGTTTTAATGAAGGTCATTAGTCTTCTGTCCAGGAATGTTTCCACACATCAACCAGAATATCCCGACTATGTGTTACAGATCTTCTCTCATGAACAAAACATGACAAAAAGTCACCAACAGGGCCGACTATAATACTACTAAACACTTACTAATACTAAAACCACCAGATCTACTTAGTTTGAACTGCTGCTGCAGAAAGATATTTTGCTAATGTTGACATCTGTTCGTCAGACAGTGTGATGAACCCTGCTCTCAGTCGGTTCACATGGTTCACTGCTGCGTCCATGTGGACTCTGATGTGAAGCTGGATCAGTCTGAGCTGTGTGAGAAAGATGCACATACTATGCAGGGTCATAAAAAATATGATGCCGCTGATTACATCATTAGACTGTCTTCCTCTACCAAAGGTTAAAATGCTTATTAATGACTTTACTGTGTGTATCAGTGTATTTGTTAATGAGAAAGCACTTTGTTTCGCTTGTGTTTATTCATTAGCGTGTTGCCGTTCTGAACGAGAACGATGTTTGACATTCAGATGTGAGAAGTACACCAGCAGCACAGTTGAACGCTGCCGAGCTGACCCAATTATACAGACGTTCTCTGTGGAGATCCGTCAATTCAACAGCCCGTCGATGGCTCTCCCACAGATTTACATGTACTGCTCGATTACAGAGTCTTTAATCAGTCTATGAGGACGTTGAGTTGGAGTTTAAGAGAGGAGGATAATTTTTCTTCTTCTTTTGTGTATTTCTCCGAGGATCACTGCATAGAAATTAAAGTATTTTCATCAGTGGGTGTCATTTATGCTGGGGTTGCATATTCCTCTCAATGGTTGCCATGGAAACGCCTCCCCATTTGTTAAGGGATTGTGCATCATGAAGGGTGATAAAAGTGTTTACCATAGTATCTGCTGCCAAACCTGGAGGTGATGGATGGATGGATGGATGGATGGATGGACGGATGGATGATTGGATGGATGGATGGATTTCCACTCAGTGAGACCATTTCTACCCTGATGCAGAGACATTTGATTCATCACTGTCACAGCTTTCCCCTTTGCATTAAAACCCTTCAAAGCTCCAGATAATGTCATATAAGTTGTTTAAAGCATAAATTTGTCTTTGTCTTATCTTTTATAGTTTTGCACCTCCATTGCCTTTCATTACTGATGACATTACCAACGACTGTGACACGCTGAGACATACAGTAGACCAACAGTTGAGATCAGTGGGGCATGTCATGTCACGTCGTCCATCTTTATATACAGTCCATGGTCCGTTCAGGTTGTGTGGTACATTTTAAGTTTGGATAAAATGGCTAAAATCTGACTTTGTTTGCTTTCTATGTAATTGTGTTAAAACTTGTGTTGCTAATACACCGTCTTGTTTGGGACTCTCTCAAACACTATGAGACAACCTCAGATTGTCTCTTAGGGAAATAGTTTTCCAGGCGTGCATTTATAAAACCAACCAGTTTGTTCAGTAGCTTTATTTAAAACTAAAAACTGTAGACACAAATATAAATCTGTTCTTTGTTGTCCCAGCTGGTAAGTGACAGTAGGTTTTTCTAACATCCATTGTCCATTCCTCACTTGACAAAAAACCTTGGTCGAGCCAATTGAGTGAGATTTATGCTGCATTGTAAATATTATTTTGAACATTATGTTTGGTTTTTACGAGAGAAAAAGACATAAAGGCTGAGGACTAACTGCTGCATCTGACTATTGTACGTCAGATTATCTAACGGCTCAAATAAAGCACAGCAGCAGTGGATACTGTGTCTAACTGAGCCTGAGCGGTGGGAGTGTTCTTAAGTGTTTTACAAAAAGGGGACTGAAAGTATCTGGGCCTCTGCTACAGGTTGTTTACTATACGATTCATTTTCTTTGGTATATATGAGAAAGTATTTTCTTTTTTCTTTCAATGACCTACATAAATAAAATCAACAATAAAAAGGCTAATATGAATATTACGGATAAACTGCTTTAAATTAGTTCTCAGCCTTTCCTTGAGTCCTCGTGCAGAGAACAGTTTGTTCTCTGGGGGAATCGCAGTAGTCGCAGTAGTCCAGGGACGCCAGCTGGCTCCTGGCGACTCGATGGCTCTGATTATTTTACTTTAGGGACGGAGTCAATCTCCCCAATCAGACGCTGCTTTCCTAATGTACTCCTCTGGCATGTGCTGAAAGAGCTGTGTAGACGCTTTTTGTGAGGGAGAGGAGTCACCTTCAGGTAGCACAGGAGAGAGCGTGGCTTCACTCTTTCACATCATCCTTGTCCTTCACCTTCCTTCACCCCCCCCCCCTCGAAGCTACGTAATCACACTAATGGGCTGGGATGGCTCTCCAACAGGAAGGGACGGGGCACGGTGAGGGGGCGGAGGGTGAAGATGTGGAGATGGGATGAGGGAGAGTTTGAAAAAAAAGATTGAAACAAAAAAGTCAGCCGAAGAAGCATGTTGACATTTTCATGTTATCTAAAGCATTTTTATTTTGGGTAAAAAATTCATATCAATAATTCATGTAACTCTCTAAGTTTTGCTTCCTTCCTCTCAAACAGTAGACATCTCTAAGTCACCTGCAGTACTGAGCTCATTACGGTTTAATAATTCAGCGAGGGCGTTTTGTACTGTTGGCCCGGTGACTTTGGCCTGCAGGAGAGGTGGTTGCTGTGCGAACAGATGTCTACACCATTCATGGGTAAACAAAAAAAACATGCCTGGGCATAATTCTGCCCCAGGGAGATTTATTCCTCCTCCTCCTCTTTTTCCGTTGCCGTCATGTTGAATTCTCTGTCGTCACATTGTCTCCACTGCATCCTCCTGCTTCTCTGCTTTAGTCACCAACACTGGCCCAACTTGTTAATACATCATGTCCCCATCCTCCTTAGGAATTTATTGCATTCAGTATTATTATAGTTAGTTGGTAAATTAATTTTCTCCCTCCTATATTGCGGACATTTTCAATTTATTTCAATAATTTACTGTTTCTATTTTTTTCCCCCACAAATGATTTATTATTTGAAAGCTTTATTTTTTTCTTCTGATGCTGTGCAAAGCATTAAGACCCATTTCAATAACTGGAACAGTTGTTGACATAAAATTCCTTCAGACCACAGGCTGTATTTAAACATGGATGGCATCACTGCTCCCCACAAGTGAAGCCAGAGTGTCTCGATCGCCCCCTGCTGCCTAGCTGCAGTATAAGTCATAAACCCCACCTCCTCCATGTTAGTTGATGGAACATGAGTCAAACTAAAAAGTCAAAGTACATATCAAATAAATAGTGTCTGTCATTTAAGCTATTTATCACACTCAAGTGTTTATTTAGTTAAGTTTAGTTTCTCTGGCTTCAAATGCACAAGATGGCCCCGTTTGTATCCTGGATATTTTGGCTCCATTTCTAAATGTAATGAATATCTTTATATACAGTCTATGGTTCAGCCCCGTGGGTATAACTTCAAATAAAAGTACTACTACCTCCTCTCTTACAGCGAAAAAGAACTGCAAGGCACTTATACTCTGACTTTTTAACTTTAAAATGTATTATCGAGCCTAAAAACCCCCAAAGTGAAACTTTCTAAACTCACACAAACATGTCTTTGACATCAGTTCACATCACAGTGAACAAAATGAATTTTAAAAATGTTTTTCCATTGAATTTGTCATATAGCCTCCAAAATGTGCTTCAGGGTCAATCTTCTTTCTTCCTTTATTCAACACGTATCCTCACCTCACTTGTCTACTCTACCACCTCCTCCACACCCACTCTCAACCTCCCTTCCTACACCTCTCCCTCAGTTTTCTCACTTTATTCCATCATGCAAGTGATTAAAAGCCGAGTCTTCATGGAGTTGAAGATAGTTCCATCATAGCTATTGGCCTATGATAGTCACAAACTGTTCAGCCTGATGAACATCTTTAATGAACATAGAAGAGGCTCCTATACACAGTTCTTCTTCAACTGTCTAGATGACATCTCTGACAATGATCATTGCATCTAATCCAAGAAAAGTGACATAGGCTGTATAGAACTTTTGGGCAGAAGGTCTTGATGGTTGGACGCCATGTTCTGATTCAACCTATGTTTGGTACTGAAAGACTTGGTTAGAGTGAAATACTCAGTGAAAGCAGTTAATCACAGACTCAGGCTGTTTCCTGTTTGTGCTCAGGCTGTTTCTTGCTTTAAATATATCAAATGTCTCCCTTCTTTCATTTTCCCTGAGACATACATTGATGGAGGTTAACATGTGCACATTACACCAATTTCAAAGTCACTGGCGACCCGTCATAATTGGTTTGTAAAGCTCTTGATGGTCTTGGTCTCACCTGTTTATCAGATTTACCTTTAACCTACGAACCTCTAGAACCCTCAGGTGTTTCAATTGTAAGTCAACATCAGAACAAAAAACCCACTCTGACTTTTTGTGTTTTAATAGTGTTAGAATAAACCAAAATTAGTTAAATAAGAAATGGACTATCAGTCAGTGTGACTCTGGTCTGGACTCACAATGATACAGAAATAAAGGAATCGTTTCCTGTCCTCCAGTGTTTTATCACAAATTTCACAAGTTGTTGAAACCCCTGCCACGGAAAAAACGATGCTTTGGATACAGGTGTCTGGCAAAGGGAGTGTAAAGTAAGAAATGTGTGAATAGGTCGAACAGAAACATTGAAGTATAAGAAATATTGAAGCTTATAAGTTCTATGTCATTAATATACACATAATATAAATATTACCACAAGAATATCGAAAGATGCAGGATGCCTGTGTTGTTAATATGCATCAGACTGAGCAGACTGTCTACAGCAGAGAGGGCTGATTTGTGACTTTGGGATGCAAGTGTGTATCAGGAGTTCCAGATTGACGCATGGGGCTGTGCCACCTCCTGGCTACGACACAGAGGGCATTAATTACCATGTCTTTGAGGGGACAATCTAATCTCTGGGACACATGGCACATAAACCTCAGCATCCCTGGAGGGATCTGCTGCAACATGTCTTGACAGTTAATGGCAGGAGGGCTCTGAGAAAAGAAACAGACAACGAGTGTTCAGTCAGTTTGAATCAGGGCTGCGACTGAAAGACGTTTTGGAGAATTGATGAGACAAACTAATTGTAATAAGAGTTGTTGACGTCCTGTAGGTAAAACACTGATACAGTCTTATTTATCAAGCCAGTCTCTAAGAAGAAAGAAAAGTGGAACACAACATTCCTGTCTTCTCAAAGCTTTCCTGGTGCTGCAACTACTGATTATTATCATTATATATATTATTATGATTATGATAGTATGAATGATGATTATTATCATATGACAAAGAAAAGCCGCAAATTCCAGCTTGAATTTTGAATTTAATTATTGATTTAACAATGAATTGATTATCAGAGTAGTACACAGACTACGTTGCTGAATCAGTCTGTAACAAACTGTAATGAAGTGATTTAACTGTCATCACTGTGTCTCTTCTGCAGGGAGAGCGTCACGATTCGGATTTCGTTGAGGAAAGAAATGCCCAGGTGCAGCTGGAGAAGGCCAAGGTACCTTTTCACTGTTGCATCATGGTCTCAGTCGACCGGACCCGACCCGCTGCTGCTCTCGCAGACTCATTTTTCAGAGAGGCTGCTCTCAAGGACGTGATTACATCACAGACAGCAAACACAGACATCAGGACATTGGATTAGCAGAGCAGGATTCAGCCGTTAAAATGAGTCATTGTGGTCTTCATCCTTGTCATCTCTTTATGTGCTCAACAACTGGAGAAGGATAATGATAGTTGCACTGATGTGTTAAATACTTAACTCGATTTCTTTTTATTTAGTTTGTATTGCTTTTAGTAGAAAATATAGAGATTTCAAAACATAAAAATTAAGGGTTAGGGTTTTCTCTGATTTCTTGATTTATCACAATGTATCAGGGGCCAGAATACAATTAAATAGAGAAAATGAAATAAAAAAGTAAAATACACATTATAACAATGCTATGTATAATAATAATGCGGGAGTGATGCTGGAGGGTTAATTTTAAGGCCAATTCAAGTTGACTGCAGGTTATCATAGGGTAAATGTATTAATCAGTTTTTATAGATATAATGACCACAAAGATTTTACACATAAACATCCAAACATCACAGCTCATATCAAACTCTGCTGATACATGTCCCATTGAATATTAAATTAAATCCTCCCCCACAGATTTAATGTGCTCCCACTGGTGCTTCGTAATAAGGCGGCAAACACCCTCTGCCCGTCCCCCCTCCCCCCTCGACCCTGCAGCCTCCTCCGCAGCCTCATCTTTTCAAAGTGGAGTAATTAGCAGCCTCATCCACGCACCGCTGACATTTGACTGTGATAGGATTACAGCACCAACAGGCGTTCAGTCGGTAGGAAGCCTGCAATCGCTGCTGAGCGACAAAGAGGACGATGCAGTTTGCTATTTTCACTGCATACATTTTGAGGACACCTCAAAAAGCACAGGGGTGAGAGATAACTTTAACGGTGTCTCTGTTAGATTCAAGAGTAAGACATGACAGTGTGACACGTGTCAGCAAAGTGTAATATCAGCATCCTGTAACTGAAACTGCTCAACAACAATTTAAGTATTAGTCAGCTGATTTATATCAGCCTATGGATAAATCAGTTGGACTCTAACATACTGTGCACAAGTTATTATTGAGAAAAACAAATGATTATATTGTCTGAGCATGTGTGTGTTGGTGAAGTTTATGGATTAAGATGACATTCATGAGTATTAACATTTTGTTCTGAACTCCTGTCTCATGTATCCAGTACAAGCCTGTTGCGTTCGCCGTTCGTTGCAACTTCTCTTACACTCCAGCAGACGACGACAACGTCCCCGTACCGGGTCAGGCCGTCACCTTCGAGGCCAGAGACTTCCTGCATGTCAAAGAGGTTTGAAACAAACGCACACAAACACAAATAACATAAAAGTGACAAGAGAAGATGTAATTTACATTTACTTTTTGTTTTTAACTTCCAGAAGTTTAACAATGAATGGTGGATCGGACGGCCTGTGAAGGAAGATGGTGTGGTGGGCTTCATCCCCAGTCCAGTCAATCTGGAAACCATCCTCATCAGAAGAGAAGTGCAGGCGAGGAAGGCTGCCAAGGCCTTAGCCAAGTATGTAGCTTTGTGTGTAGGATTATATGTTATTTATTTATTTAAGCTGAAAATGTTCGTAGAATATTCAAACTAGTCACAGAAATAGTCATATCCATACAGCCTGTGATAACCTATTCATGTCAGTGTTGCATATTCTCAATCAAATTTACCCCAATTCTACTGACAAGGAGAGAAACATCAGTTTTAATTAAAGATATAAAAGATGATGGGACCACACCAGTGATTTTTCATGTCCCGGTGTTTTTAATACATTTCCCTTTGGTTTCTATTAATTTCAGCATTAAGTAAAAGGGCCTCACTTCAAGGGATTTGCTGTGGAATCTTTATAAAGCTGTGTCTCATGAGTTGATATATGGTATCTTCCATTGCATGGTTAGAAAGTGATCTATGTTCATCACGGCTGAAGTGTTGGAATTATAAAGGAAGTGGTGTTTGTGAGTGGGAACGATTAAACGTGAGCTAATTCTGGACTTTTCTCTCTAAATATCAGTAAAGCAGCAACTCAACCCGCTCAAGATATGAACTCAAAGAAATACACTCCTCCCTCACAAGGTCAGTGTGAGCTTCACTGTTTAATGAGACAGTTTTAATGACTGGTGAGTTAACATGAGGCTCCTCTGTTACCTTTCTCTATGCACAGCCAATCAGCAAGTGAAAAAGAAACCGGTAAGTGACATTTATTGTGTGTAGATATTCTCTTTCATGTGATAATGACATATGACACAAATGTGTAAAGAACAGTTTAGTATGAGACAGTTAATCATTAACCCAATCATGGCTGCAGTGGATCTTTACGTGTCATGTTTTAGAGATAAATCTCATTCAGTAAAGAGAGTTAGAAATATG